AAATTCTTTGTGTTTTGGCTTTTCCCTCCCTCGTTCAGACTTAATAAATAGTATTGCAAAACCTTCCATTTGTAACTGAAGTTGATGTGTTATGCCAAGAAAAATCTATGTGTCAATCATTTCTTTTAAAGAAACTTGAAAACATTTATTGCTGATTGTTTGTTGTGGTTAGAGTGATGTGTTTTATAGATCACATTGCTTAAGTTTTTTTTTAAACCCTAGAATTTATAAACGGTCTGCCAGATTAAGGACTGGAAACATGAAAAAAATGAATTTTATTTATATACACTTATTTCAGGTTATGTGAATACATAGTAAAGTTTGTATGCAGTAGAGTAGTAAAATAGGGAAATAGCCTTGGAAGGATCAGAAGCCCCGACAGTGTAGGGAATTAAAAAAGATAATGGACTATATCAGTGGTGATGAACCTATGGCATGTGTGCCACAGTGGGCACGCAGAGCCCTCTCTGTTGGCACACAAGCCAAGTCAACCCAGTATCGCTCCAGCAGCCGAGCATTGGATAACAGCGTACATAGGGGCCATGCGCATGCTCAGAAAGGAGCAGTGGTGCCAGGCAATGATGTCATGAGCCACAACTCATTAGCTGCGACTCGTCCGAGCTTTCGCATGGCCGGTTACTGCGCTGCCAAGGAGATATATATATATATACATATACACATATATATATATTTGCTTGGACTGGCTGTGAGTTGTATTTTTCTAAATTAAAACCTCAGTTTTCAGGGTTTATTGCAGTGTGGGCATTTTGCAATAAATAAGTGGGTTTTGGGTTGCGGTTGGGCACTCGGTCTCTAAAAGGTTTGCCATCACTGGTCTATATACTGATGCATGGAGTGGTAAAAAGCAAAACCCTCTACTGAAATAAAATTTGGAGACTATCACACTGAAATGTAATACATGCACACAATGTAATTAATTGGACAACAGTTGCTCTCTGATGAATCAGTCTACCCCATCTCTGTCCCATCCATCAAGTCCTGCAGTTCTTTTCCATGATGTTACATACTTTAAACTATTACACTTTGTTTCCCAAGCACTCATCTCCTTGGCCCTGCTTTCACTGCCACCTCTGTGACATCTCTGAATTCCTCACTGTTCCACTGTGTAGCTTGGTGCAGAATCTTCATGAAGTGGCGTTAACATCTAAATACTATTCTGCAGAATAAAATGCATATGGTTCAGCTTGCCACATAAGAATTCTAGTGCAATTTTATTCCAGAAAAGCCAAAAGATGTTCATTCTACCTTCACATATTCTTCCCCAGCGTGTGTCCCCCCCGGTGTTCCATCATATCTGATCATTGGCTAAGTTTGCTTGTGTTTAGCAAAGAAATCTAATTCTGTAAGCCAAAACAAGAAAGCAAGCTTCTGCACCAACAAAAACACAGAACAACATTAAGTGAAGTTGACAGGATCACTTCAGTATCATAGCATGAAGAATCAGACGTGTGGCTTTTGTTACACACATGGCATGCTCTGAAGAATATCCACAAGTACTAAAAGGGCATTTTGATGTTGCAGCAGATTTGGGTTCATATGCATTCCAAAGCTAGAAGAATAAGAGACGATATGGAGCTAGGAGCTACCTTCAGTACTGGCCTACCAAAATATCTGAAAGACTACATCCTCCTGCATAGCCCTGATCAGAGGTTGAGATCACTCTTGTGATCTACTATTAGTAGTAGTAGGGTCTAGTATTATGGCAACCAGCAAAAGGGGCTTATTTGGTGGGAGGTGTAGAAAATGACCTTTTTGTGACAGCACCATGATTATGGAGTTCTTTTCCAAAGATTATGAGATAAGCCCCATCCCTTGTGGCAATTAGTCAGACAGTGAGAAATCCTTATTCTGGACGACTTTTAATATTTTTGATAATGTAGGTTTTAACTTTGCTTCATTGATTTCAAAGTTTTAGCTTTTGTTTTGTTTTATAAACTGCTTTCTGGGCCTTGTTAGAACTAAAAAGTACTATAAAATTATTTAATGGATAAGAATAAATATGTGTATGATAAATGCACACCTCCTAGAAAGGATTACTGGTGGTTGTTTATATCATGCCATTAGGGTGCCTGGGGCTTTAGGGAGAACAAGTTCCTGCCCTAAAGGGGTTGCAATATGCAATTTGACGCAGGGGAGACAACAGAGCAGGGGTACAGGACCTCACAGTCTGGCACTCAGAGGATCCCTTTTTCCAGCAGTTGTTTGACACTTTCCTGGCTTTTGTGCATTTTTTCCCATTCTGGAAAAGTAGGGCAGCTTTTCCTACCACTTTGTTATTGGGAAGTAAATGTTTTGTATTAAAGTGTGCTTAGTCACCACTGGAAAGTTGCCCTGAAAGATTCTCTTAAATGGTATTAAGCCCTCAGGTAGAAAGAGATTCAGTACTCCTGAAGTAGAGGAATAGGGAAGTAGTGGCAGAAATAAAATTGCTTCCTATGTTCCATGTGTTTAGAGTATGAGATATTTTGACCCAATTTGACTCACTCCTTTACACTCCTTTTAAACCATGAATTACTTGATTGTGCAAATTCATTATTGTTGTCAGGTTGACTCTGAGCTGGGTTAACTCTGGTTGATTAACCATTAAACAATCCCGTTTCTAGGAATATACTTAACAATAAACGCAGAATGGGGTTGTTCTTGAGTTGTGAAGGTCGCAGAAGCAATGAGCAGGATAGAGGAAGCACAGTTGGTTGCTGCTGTGCAGCTGTGGCTAATTATGGCTAAATAACTTATATAGTTAGCAATTTCATGCGAGCCAGGTGAGTACCTGCACTGATCCATGTTATTGCTTTGAGAGATTTGATCCAGGTTCTGTGGGTTCACTGCATCTCAGTTCCAACAGAAAAACATAAATTGGCACAAAGAGGTACTTTTTTGAACTGCAGCTACCCCACTTCTAGAGCTATTGCCTGACTGGTAGCTCTAGAATGGATATGGAAAGCAAGTGATGGCTTACTTTATCAGCCTCTCGGGCAATATGTTCTTATGTTATCTATTCCCCTCTCTCTTACCTTCATGTACAATAACTTCAAATTGTGCTTTTAAAAGGACATTGTCATACAATATGACTCAGAAAGGGGGGAGCTGTAATTTTTTTAAAAAATATCCCAGATTTAGAAGGGACTAGAGTGATTCAGTCTAGTTAAATTTAACTTTACTTGCTTCTTATTAACATCTGACTATAATGCTTAAAAATGCATACCATGTTTTCTGAGCAGTTCTAGTGTACCAGAATTTGGAGTAGTTCTGAGTCTGAACTAACTTAAGACTTAGCCTCCCCATCTTGCTCTGGATGTAGGTTGACCTGGTTAGGCAGCCATGAAATATTCTGACAGGCCTTACTGTAACTGTATTCTACTACAGTTGTTTTAATAAATCTATTCTCTGCTTAGAAAACTTCTCTGCATTTTTCCGAAAAGGTTTTCGATCTTTGATCAAAATAGCATTTTTTGATCCCTGACAAATCTTACACTAGCTCTTCTTTCCCTACCGTCTTTTGGCAATCCCTGATCTCTTGCCCCTGCTGTGTCTTGTTCAGCTAAACAGAATGTAAACTCTTCAGCCATTTTCATGCTATGCACAGAGCCTAGTGTCATGTTGAGAATTCCTCACCATGTTTGCAGATCTTGCAAACAAAAATTTGGAACTATTTATTTATTTAAAGTTTTTATATGCCATCCCAATACTAAAAGTCTCTGGACGGCTTGTTCCAAGACAGTTCCAACCCAGTTTTAACTTAGGACTCAGTTTTTCACTTTGATGGGCATCTTGTTTGTGGGGGTGGGGGTGGGGGTGGGGGTGGGAGGAAAGGCAAAAAGGGTAGAGCAATAGGAGCAGTGGTTCTCTGCAAGAAATTGGTCCTCTGGCAAAGGGTAAAGTCCAGATGGACTGAGTGATGAAAGGTGGGGTGGCAAAGAGAGCGCAGGGGGGAAGGGGGGGACCAGGTACAGAGACAGCATGACGCTATGTATTCCTGAATAACTTACCTAATATTCCTCTCTCAAAATAAACAAACTTCTGACTCTGGTTCTTCCTACTGCTGAGATCCACCCCCCTCCCCTCCAATTTTCCCTGAGGAAATGTAGTGCTTGACAGAACAAAGATCACCCATGTCTGCTCTAGATCTGAGAGCGATAAGAGATTCTGGTTGGCTTAAGTCTGAGTTCTTGTTAACCTTAAAGTTATTTTAATCAAACCCTGTACTGTTTAGGCCAGCCTACATTTCTCTTGAAGAATCTCACCTCCAGTAGTTTCTGGCATTTTCTGGCCAAATCATTGTTCAGGAGTGAGGGGAATTTTGTTCTGATACCGTGAGTCACACCCTCACTCCACTGGATGTTACAGGAAGCAATGCTTACAGTTAGATGGGAATGCAACAATTCGGGATGTAGTGGAAGACTGCATGTTTGGTAGAAATCTCTTACTATGCACAGAGAATGTTTTATATCAGAGAGGATTCAAATTTGTGTGTCTTTTTTTTCTGGTGCAATAGATCAAGCCTTTGGGATCATAGATCCTCTTTCAGATTACTGAATTACAGGCCACTACATTATTAAACTCTGGCCTTTTGGAAGGAAATGCAGATCCAAGATTCAGGCTGTGCAGTTAGCGACACAGTAGCATCGAGCTTCAAGAAGCAAAAACTCTTTAGTAATCAGGAAGATTAAAAGTTCAGCATTGCTGTTGGAACAGAGTAGTCAGAAAACTGAAAATTGGAAAGAGAATAATCAAAATGTTAGAGTGTGATAACATAGCATTTGAACAGAGGCAGAAAAAAAGTTGATCCAATAACTTGATCAGGAAAACACTTACGTCTTTTTGAGGAAAGCAGCTGCTTGATCTGTGGGATTCATTGCTGCCGTACTTTGGTTATTTTAGTCAAACAGCCAGAAAAATATTTACATAATGTAACTAAAATTAGATATAATAAGCAAAAATGTTGCACAATGAGTTCTGATGTCCACATTTTCTATTAGGAGAAAAAGGTGAAAATGAAGTCATACATTTCAGTTTCTGGACTAAAGAAATTTGGTAAGTTGTGCCAAGATTGTGCTGTTCAGCATGTGTTAATTTTCTGCAAAACTAATCTTCAGAGTTATGTTCTATCTGTAACCTTTTCTCAATCAGATATGGCCCCTTCAAGTAGCACAGAAATTTCTAAAAGTAGGATTTGATAATGGTTAATAATATTTTCATAACATCACCTAATGGCTAAACATGGATTAGACAATGTGTTCCTACCTGTTCTTCAGCTGGACTCTTAACTATTTAGGTATATTGTGTTTTTCATGTCTCACCTTTGCCTGCCACTCAGGAATGGACAGTATCATTTTAGGCCTTAGTTGGAAGTTAGCTTGGAAGTCATTCCAGTCTTGCAGTTAGGCACTTGTTTTGGGCAAGTAACAGTTCCATCTGGTTGACTAGTTCACCAGTTCTCTGGGCAGTTCTCTGCCAAAGATCTGTGAGTGGTTTAAAAGCATAAAAAGTTTCAACCCTAAAATACAATTTACCAACATAATGTAAAAAGTATACAGTGGTATCTTGGCTCACGAACGCTTCAGTTCACAACCAAATCAGGTCGCGAACAGAAATTTCATAAAAATTTTGCTGCAGGTCACGAACTCTGCATCGGGTGACAATTGTGAGCGCGCCCGCCTTCCCTGAACGGGCACGATTGCGGTCATGGGGGGGGGGGGGAGAGATGGCCCCAGCTGTGCCTGTGTTCCCTGTCCGAGCGTGCACGCCTGCCCCCCAGTGCGCCCATGCTTGCTTGCCCCCCACCCCCCCGATTGCACCCATCTCCCCCCCCCGCACAATCGCTGCAGGGGGAGGAGATGGCCGCGATCTTTGTTGTTCTTTGTCACTTTGCTTCAAATTTTTGTGAGTAAAAAAAATAATTGCAGAATGGATTAACCCTATTTACATTGACCCTTACAGGGAAATTTGACTTGGCTCATGACCAGTTTGGGTCATGATCAGAGTCCTGGAATGGATTAAGTTTGTGAGCCAAGGTACCATTGTATAAAAATAAAACCATTTTAAACACTCAACAGTAAATCTCATGCTGCCTCATCCCATGTCCAAAATCATATCTGTTCAACTGGCCCATTACCCTCACTGGTGACAGCTAGTTAGGGTTTCTGGCAGTTGTTTTTTTCTGCTCCCTGAGATCCTTTCTTTTGCAGATGCCTGAGGTCAAACCTGCTTCTCTTATTGTGTACTCCCAGGGACAGTTACTAATTCATTTTTATGCAGTAGGTCTGCTTGCTCTGAAGCGAAGACTTTTAAGCTTAAAATAGTTCCACTGCAGCTTAAATCCCATTGTTTTTGAGACCCAGTATTTTGAATACAAGGTATAGTTGTCATTCATCTTTCTTTGAACATTTAATGGTGCTGTTGATTTCAGAAAATGTTTTCAGTCTAATGTTACAGATGAAGCCTGGCATATTTTGGCTCCTTTACAGAACAACATTCAGTGAAGATAAAATTCAGTTATTAAGTTTCGGGGTGCAGAAAGTTTAGGGATTCCTCTGGTGCCTGTTAGTCTGATGTCCACCTTCTGTACATTCGTATTCTGGTTTTATGAAGCAATGCCTTGACTCGGAGCTTGCTAAATACATAAATAAATAACTCCAGAATGAAATCAGATGAGCCAATGTTTGATGTTTACTTCCACTATTTCCAGACAGAATAATTATTGACTTTCCCTCTTTTCCGCATCTCCCTCAGGCTGCCTTTAAATGTAGTTGATTCTTTTTCACCTTGCACAGACAGGGATAGCAAGAAAGTATTGTACTGCCTACACTATTTTTCCTTACAAAAAGTTGGTCCATGTTTGCATAACAATATTAAGGTGTTCACTTTTTAGTTCTGTGAGCTTATTTTATTATGAGAGATCAGTTACTGCTTGTACTCTCATAGATATGGCTTATAATATACACAAGCACATACACTCCTCTGTATTTAGTTGGGGAGCGGAAATATTCTGAATAATACAGTGAACAGACATATAGATCTAAGGATGTTTCCAAAAACCAATGTTTTATTAATCAGTCAGACTTGCTACCATGTAATATGTCTGGGCTCTGAGGTGTTAGGCAAGTTGATAGAGTAACCTTAGGGTACACCTGTGTGTAGAAATGGGGAAATACGCATTGTCAGATACTTTAGCCTTTGACTTGGAGCCATAGCAAGGCACATTTAACTGAAAGTTTAGAATAAAATGGATTTCACGGGGGGGGGGGGGGCTACCAAGCAACTAGATTGGAGAAATGAATTTTAGATACTGTCTTGCACTTGTACTGTAATGTTGTCATTATGATTTTGTATGTTGAGGTACAATGTGAAAAAGAAGTGTAAAGTATGTTGAAGGGAACAAATGGAAAGACAGATTCTTCATTTGAGGAAAGCAGTCCTGTCTTTTCAGCCACTACTTTGCTGCTGTAAATTTAAATGACCATCCTGCATTTCCAGGCATTATGTTAGAGTTATGCCAGCAAAATTGAAAATGGGGCTTTCTCTGCAAATTGTCCGTGCAAGCTACCTTGCAGACATAGTGCCTCTCCTCCACCCCCAGAGTTGGTAAGAATCCATGGATGTGACATTCATCTGCAGACCCACAAATATCCTCCTTCAGTCAGTTGGGCCTGCATGACAAGGATGCTTTTGAGAGAAAGCACCTTAAAGTGTTAAAATGAGTGCATAATAGATAGTTACAAGTCACTTATAAAAAATATGTATTGATTGAATATAAAATGATAGGCTTTAAAACATTTTAAAGCCATTAAAATGTTATTTTTATTGACATTTATTGACATTAGAATAATGTGTACTATATTAAAACTTGGAGAAGAACTAGATCCTTTAGCTCTTAAATCAATTATTTGGAAATAAGGGAAATAAGAAGGCGGAGCTTTTGCTGAGCTCTATAGGAATTTGATTGTTCACTTTCTCTGTATAAAGAACAAAGGGTGTCTGTGAAATAATCATCCATGGACCAAGGAGAAAAAGAGGTCTGTGCCTCTTGAGACAGCAAGATGTTTGGATAGTTTGTGGCCATTGGAGTTGCAATCCCTACTCTGATATATTCTGAAGCCGCTCAGGCCTTAAATCTTTAGTTCGAAATGTTGGTATTTTGGACAAAGAAAAAGTAACTTCTGCAGATTGCTCCCCCACACCACCATCAAGGAAAGGAGACCATCCTCACGATGTGTTCCTAGCCACACTGCCTTTTAGACTTCCGTAGGCCAGAGCAGAACAAAGACTTCCCTCCTTTTCTGAATAGTGTATATTGGTGGCCCCCAATATTTTGGCTAAATAGAACAAATCATAGTTCTGTGCAACACAAAGAAATATGCTAAAACTAAGATTAGATTTTAAGTTATTGACTTAAAAGTGAAAATGGGATAATTTGACCCATAGAAGCTATATGTTTTTATTCTACAGAAGTGTGACATAATGCTGTCAGTTTGCCCTTGCTTTGCTTCCCTTGTCCTTTGCTTTTCTTCCTGTTTGTTTTAGGGCCTACCTCTTCTGGGCATGGAAGGTATTATATGGCTATGGACTCATTTATAGGCTCAGGTCAGTTGACTCTCCAAATAATGTTTTGGAGAATTAGAAGCAAACTGTAAGTTCATATCTTCCCTTCTCATAAGCTGATCTTTTCATTTCTAGGTTTATGATAGTTTGGTGCATAGTACTTGGAATAATATACTGCAAATCTGTTTAAAAGTGTGGATGTGGAGAATGTGGCTAGCTGAAGCTGAGGGTGTAAGTGCGATGGCGGGATTGTGTAAAGTGATGATGATTGTGAATGGGAGCCGTACTGGTGTTTGGATGTGAGTGATGCAGTGTACATGTTACTTTGGCACTACCCAGCTTTGGCCCTGTCCACCACAGACTTGCGGCCTCCAGAGGGTTGCCCTTGAGGGAATGAGAATCTGAAGATCAAAAGTTTCCTCTTCTCCCACTCCATTCTGATATTGCAACAAACAGGAAAACTGGAGCAAGGGATTGGATTGTGGGAGAGAGAATATGAGTCTGTGAGAATGTCTCAATGGATTAGAATATGATAACTGAACTGGGACATCGTCACGCTCATGCTGTTGCAGTTTCCACCTCCATGCTACAGGTCTTGAGTTGGACAAGAAGTTATGCATTTATAGACAGACGAGATCACTGGAAATTAGTGTTTTCCCATCCTGTCCAAAATTCCATTGGAGAGTTTGTGATTGCATCCTGAGTTACTTCTAGGAGGATTAAAGTTGTGTCAGTATTTAAAGTAGAGGTAGGCAACCTGGTTGTGTTCTGATTTTCTGAGCTAAAACTATCGTAGCTTGGTTATTCAGTCAGGGATTGTGGGAACTGTGGTCTAAACCCATGGAGCTGCATATCCTTAGCTCACAAGGTCTTTCTTAGGAATATGGACATTCAGCCACATATGGCTGTAGTAGTTAATACCAGTAAATGTATGTTTCAGAGTTTAGCTTGATCCTGCATCCATGTTAGCGTCTTCTGGTTACAACAAATGTTTGGCTGTAACACTATTCTGTGTTAGTATGAATTCGCAATCTTTTGATGTATCTGCTAAGCAACAGAAATATTGTTTGCTGTTGTGGTTTTCTCAGTTCCCTCTGCCTTTCTTTTTCCTGTAGTCAACTCCTCCACACAGTGCCCTTTGCTGCACAGATTTAAAGCAATGGATGGCTGCCGTTGCTGGAATTCCTTGCTGCAATGCTCTCATTCCCCACCCTGCACAAGCTGCAACACTGCCCAGAACTTGTTCTATCCAGTTTCCTCGCATATTGCTTGTCTTCATGGAGATACATTTCTTTGGCTCCCTGGAACTTTTGTGGGGGTGGGGAGGGGAGGAGGAGGAAACCATTCACAAGCTTGAGCTTCCTAATTCTGCAGCTCTTGGCATGAAAAGATCATTCAGTCTTTGTGCAAAATCTTGTCTTCCTTTAGCATTATTTTTCTGTGTGCCTGTGCACATCCTCCTAACTAGAGCCTGGTTTATGCAGAGCAGCCTAGAGGTTGCTTATATTGCTTCACAAAATTGTCCTAAGCTAACAAAACCCTACATTATACTGAACTTCCTTCTGCAGACTTTTTCACTTCTTTGTTCTGTCTTGTTCTAACTGAATCTATAACATCAAAATGAAGTACATGTCTTTTCAGTGAGGTCATGCACAGTGTGTATATAAACTTTTAATTAAAATTTTAGATCCTGAGTTGCTTCTTAACTCTAGTGCGTTATTGTAGCTTGTTGCAATAATTTCAGTATAGCCACCGTATGTAAATGCAACCATGCTTATATACATATGATAGCTCTCTGACATCTTTGCACATAACCATATTGCATGCACCAAATGTGGTGTCAGTAACACCACAATAGGTGTGATGGTCTATAATCTTAATTGAGCACCTTCCACCCCATTATGAATCAGCTTTGTATGAGCTCTGAGAGCAAGCGTGAAGATATGAGATACAATTCTGTGTACATATAAAAGTCAAGAGATCAGCACACCAGTGAAATCCTTCATAATTAAAAAAAACAAAAAACAAAAACTGTGGGGTTCTTATCATTGTTTTACATTATTTCAATTAGGATGAAGTCCAGACTTACTCCATACTTATTAATGTTGCTGGTCCCACAGAATGGGAAATACTATATTAAGCTTTTGTATAGAGACCTGTAAATATCAACCACACTTAATTTAGAGCAGATCTTCAAAAAGGGCCATCCAACATGAATGCTGGGTAACTTCACCCTTCTGATATCAAATGAGTTTAAACCACCCATCAAGCAGTACAGATTGCCTTTGCCTTTTTACTACACATGCACTATATTTTCAGGGCAATCAACATATTAGCATATCTCTCCTGAAACTTTTATATCAGTCCTTGAATTTAGTCAATCCCAGTGGTTTTCTTCATATCTACTGAAACAACTTTATTGCCTCCTGGGAATTTTTTAAGCTCAGTTCCACGTGCTGGTTAGAACTCTTAAAGCCCTGCATGACTTAGGATCCAATTAGCCACTGGACAACCTTCTGCCAGGTCTATCTGCCTATCCACTGGTATTGTCATCTCAGTTCTTTGATCCTGCTTCTGAAGTGCAGTGAATAGCACCTGGAAACTTGCCAGCTGTGGCTACTTGTCTTTGGAGTGTAGTCCCAGGGTGATCTGCAGGACCCCCTTGTACTATAATCAGCGGCTATGAAAAAATGTTTACCTAAGCTTATTTTTGTATTTTTAAGTTAGAATCTAAACATCAAAAGCTGTTTCAATAGTCTGTTGCTGTTTACCTGTTATTTCCTGTTTGTTTGCTTTATTTCTCATTTTCAATTTTTATTATATTTATATTGTAAGCTGCCCTTGGAACATAAATTCATGTTGAAGGTGCAGGATATAAATTTTGTAAAAAAGAAAGCAGGCATGTTTGCCAGTTTCCTTTCCTAGGAGATACCTCCAGTGAATTAGAAAAGCATGTTGTGGTCCCCATCTGATCTTTGATCAGTTAGCTTGATTATGATAGGAAAGTTAGTGTATCATTAAAGAGACACTGATGTCATTGCAATCTCACATTCCTGGCATAATAAGCAGCATTGTGTCCTGTAAACAGGGCACATAAAATGGCCAGCTGGGGTTTTATATCATGAGTACGTCTGCTGATAGGTAGGTGTTTCACCTGTGAGTGGACCTTCTTGAATGTAAATGCCTCAGCTTGTCGCTTCAGGTGGTAGGCTGGTTTTCCTCCTTGCAAGCATGCCATTAAAATCTCTCTCTGGTTTGGTTGCAAATGTGCAAAAAAGCCGCATGATGTGTTGGAGCAGCAAAGTAACACAAAAAGAAACAGCACAGGAGCGCAGGTGTGGACCCAGCCCAACAGCCTTCCTCAATTTGGTGCCCTCCAGATGTGTTAGACTATGAGGAAGTGTGGTCTGTGAGTGCTTTTTTCTTTTGATTGCAGGAGACAGCAAGCAAAAGGCATAATGCAAAGGACGTTAACCACATAACAAAATACATTCTTCATTCAGAAGGAGCAGAAGAGTAGAGAAACAGGATTTTTATTGCATAATTATGCCTCCTCCATAAAGCTCCTCCAAAAGAAATGGCAGACCTGCAGATCATCCAGCGGCCACCTAACATGCTGCTGTGATCACACAGTGGTGCACATGTTAAAGGCGATGCGATGTGGGCTCACTGTTCATGCCCTCGCAGCATTCAGGAATTTCAGATGGCCTGATCAGAATGTGCAGTACAGTCTTTGTCCTGGAACCTAAGATACACATTCAAGGGTGGAAATGCAGACGTCCACAACTTTTTGTTTTTGTTTCCTGAAAGATTTAATTAAAAGATTGAAAGGAAGGGAAATGAAAATGCAATTTCTGGCTTAAATAAATAAAATACGAAGTCATGTGAACTCTGTCACTGTCAGGAGGACAGAGCCAAGGAAGCACAAGAAGGTTGTGTATGAGAATAAATAATAGTTTTATACTGATTCTAGTATTTATTCATGGAATTGCTTTGGTAGGCATCCCAGTAAGATGTGCATTTGTTATTTCTTACCTATTTACATGGAAAAGGTGGAACAACACAAACAATTAAGGTGATAGTACAGGGGATGAACTGGGAAATTAAGTTATCATTTATAGTAATATTGCACATCTAGATCTGTAGCATTTTTCTGACATAAACCCTAATCCTAAATGCAACTGCAGGGATTTGGAACTCCACTCGGGTTCTATGGAGCTTCTGTGCTTGTCAGCAGTTCACTGGAAGATGCAACTTTACATGCACAGCACTGTGCAATACTTCCATAGTCCTTTGAATGCCATTTTCTTGGTGGAAAGCTAAGAAATCCAATCAAATAATTAATATATTGAACATGAGAACAGATCGCAAGTACACCGTGAATTGCAGCATCTGCATCTGTGCTATCTGTAAAAAAAATCCCTGTGATTGCTGCATGATTTTGCATCTGAGCAATTATTTAGAATCTGGATATTGTGTCTAGTGGTAAGAGAGGCATTAGGTAATATGATCTGGGAATATGCAAATTGGTATGTTTTCATATTTCTCATATGACTGTAAATTCCTTGGAGAAGTGATTCAGTCTTAGGGCACAATCCTGTGGCCAACTAGACGAAGTCTTAATGGCCATGGGAGAGGTCAGAGTCCCAGCTGCAACTCAGAAATGCACACTGAGGTTGGAACTGGGTCTCCAAACCTGGAGCATGCTTCCTCTGCTCTGGCTGTTGTTCCAAGATTGGAATACTGACCGCGGAGCCAGAGGTTTGTGGGGTTTTCTGTGGGTAGGAAGGGGCAGGGAGGAACATAATAATCTGGTAGTGTCTTAGTCTGGGGCAAAAAATTAAATGGACAAAATCAAGCTTTGCCTTTGTGCTCCTTCCACCCTTCACTGGATTCCCACAATCCTCTGAGTTTGAAAAGTCATGGTCTGCCACATTGGTTTGCACAGTTAATTAAACTAACGATGAAGCATCATGTGGAAATTGAGAATAATCTTTAGTAGGCCTTGTTACTATTTTATTATTTTAATATATATAAATGCTTTTCTGTTTAAAATACATAAACCATTATCCAGTAAATTCAGAAAAAGCAGTGCCCCCTCCCAAAAAAATCCCCAATTCAAATACAGCAGGAGAAATACATTAGAACTCATTAATGGTTATAGCACTTATTCCTCATTGTTTAAGTCAAAGCATTTATATTCCATTTTTTAATCAATGGTTTCGATAAACAGTATCTTAGATGCCAATAATACTGATAAAGCTAGAATGATACTGCAGGAAAAGCTCTTTAAGTCTTGATCACTGTACAGTAATACCTTGGTTCATGAACGCTATTGTTTGCAAACAATTCGGTTAACAGAAGTTTGGCAAAATTTTGCTTCCGTTGGCAAACTCTGCATCAGGTGATGAACATGATCATGGCTATCTGCCCCACTGAAACATACTCTGACACATGGTCGTAGTGTGGGGAAGATGGCCACGTTCGTATTCACAGGAACACAAACGCGGCCATCTTCCCTGCTCTGACACATGGTCGTGGCTTCCTCTAGTTGAGGTCGCAGTTGCAGACTCTCCCTCCAAACGATAACCTCCTCCCCACCCACCTTCCTATCCTCCATGTCAGAAGTTGCCTCTAGCAAGGTTAGTGTTCTCTCTCTTCATACTGTACTGTACTTTGTTTCATATGTTTGTGGTTAAAAAATTACATATGGTTCAGAATGGAGTAACCTTATTTACATTGAACCTTAAGGGGAAATTTGACTCGGTTCGTGACCAGAATCATGGAACAAATTAAGTTCGTGAACTGAGGTACCACTGTATATGAAATGTTATCAGTTTCAGCCTTTACCACCACAACAGTGAGACTAAGAAATAAGTGTGCAGGCTTTGCAGATGGGCCACTGTCCAGTATCAGGCTTAGCTCTCATTCACACAATATTTATGAGAGTGTGTCTTTTCTTTCTCCATAAGGAATGGGTGCCATTTTTGCTAAGGGCAGAAGAAAGTGCTTCACTTTGCAAAGTCAAAACTTACCTTCCAAGTGTTGCCCAGTTCTCAGTAAGGGAGATACAACAGGGAAGGATACAGTTCCACATCATGATGGGCATTCTGCTAGCTGTTAATAATCATCAGCTCCCCAAATATCTCTCAAGTTTACTGACATCATTTATCAGCTTGATCTTTTAATAATTAGCCTTCAGCATCAAACTGGACCCACATAGTGGAAAGGCTTTCATGGCAGATGCTTTATTGCCATGAAAGCAGCAAGCAGAGCTGGGTAGGCGTGGTTGTGTATCTGTCAAGGACTCATAACCCACCAAGGGCCCACTGGCAAGTGCTTGGAGTTGTTCTTTTACGCCCTTGCATCCTGCTTTTCCAGGTGCCCCTCTCTCTGGCCAAAAAACATGGTGGTTAGAAGGAAAGCCAGCAGAGAATACTGCCTCCTTGCTCAGAGGCCCTCTGCCTTTCTATAGCAAGTACACGTGAGTAATGCGGGCAGGGTGTGGAGTAATAGCAGTCAGTGAAAATGGTGGTGGTAAGACAGATTCCCGAAGGGGGGAGGGGTATTGAAGGACTCTTGCCTAAGGGCCTTCAAAATCCTGGAGCCTGCACTGTCAGTAAGAGTAGAGAAGCAGGGAGAGAGCAGAATTGAAATTGCACCTCTGACATCAACTTGTTTTATTTATGAACTGTATTGCTGCATTTCCTTATAAATCAACACTGAAGTGGGTGCACAGCCAATAAAACATAAGCAAAACTTTGACCAACTCTCCTCCCTGTCCCCCCAAACTGGGTACAACAGTAACATAGATAAATAGCAGATTACAAGATGCAGCAAAACAAGCTCAGTCAAAAGGCTGAGTGAATAAATAGGTCTTTAGCTTGTGCCAGAAGATGGAAGACTTGCATGGATTTTATATGAAGGGAGAGGGAGGTCCATAATCATAGTACCTTTCTGGAGAAAGCCCTCTCTCAGGTCACCACATATGAAGCTCCAGGCAAATGCTGTACTAGCAAAAGGGCAGCTCAACTAGGTATTAATGTTTGGGCAAGTATAGAAGGAAGAAGCACTCCATCAGACTTCCTGCAGCCTTGCATCTTATTGTTTGCTTGGTAGCCACAGACACTGAAGAATCAGGGCATCAGGTTTGGGTTAGGGTTATCAGTGGGGAATCATCAGGATGGCAGTTAATGATAAGCAGAGCCCCCCTGCCCCCCAGGGCTCAGTTCCAGGTCTGATTCTGTTCATTCTTTTTATCAATGACCTGGAGGAAGGGATAACCAGTCTGCTGATGAAATTCACAGATGCTACTGAAGTGGGAGCAGTACCAACTGAGGAGCAGATGATCCGGGTCAAGAAGGATCTGGACAGGCTGTGGAAGTGGGCATGGGACAACAGGACGGCATTCAGTGTGGATAAGTGCAAGGTCTTTCACTTGGGACACAGAAATGGATGTCACAGGTACAGGATGGGGAAAAGTGGCTGGAGAGCTGCACTTGTGAAAGGGATCTTGGAGTACTTGTCAACAGAAGACTGAACATAAGCCAGCAGAGTGACATGGCAGTTAAGAAGACAAATGTTACCCTTTGATGTATAGCCAGAAGTGTGGCTTCCAGATCTAGGGAGGTGTTGATGCTGCTCTACATGACTTTGGTGTGTCCACAACTGGAGTACTGCATCCAGTTCTGGGCTCCACATTATAAGAGAGAGATAGCTAGGTTATAATTGGTTCAGTGCAGGGTCAGAAGAATGGTAGCCGGGTTGGGAGAGATGACATATGAGGAGAGACTGAGGGAACTGGATCTTTTCAGCCTGGAGAAGAGGAAGCTCCAAGAGAGTCAGACTAGATGGCCTAGGAAACTCCTTCTGACTCGCTGTGTTTCTTTGTTTCTGATTTCATGCAAACAAAGGTACAGGCTGATGCATAGATACCAAACAGGTTGCCAGAAGAGGGAAAATGGAATGGACTGTTGGCACAGAACTTTTATTCTGGACTGGTGGTTCTTGTTAGCTAATTTATGAGGCTGACTCACCTGGTGGATGTGCACCATTCTTCTGCTTATCATGGTTCTGGGGCGAATGAAACAGCTTCTGAAGCAATTAGCATATAGTACTGTATGAGTTTTGTTTCTATAAAACCACTCTTAATCAAAAGAATTAAGAAGTTCTTGCATAAGTGAACTGGGATATTTCAGTCAAAGGTTCTGATGAAAATAATTTATTGTGAATTTGGTCTTGCTTGATGTCCATTTCTTGGTTGTTCTACACCTGCTGTGTCTAAAGCAGGGAAACTTTCTTGAGTGAGGACAAGAAAGCCGAGTGCTTACAGATTGCAGGTGTTGCCTCATAAACTTGTTCATCGAGGTCAAAGAATCAATATACTTCAGTTACAGCTAGCCCTGCTTTAAAATGTTTGTTCTGTTTGTAGATACTGAGGTTTTCTGCTACTCTCTCCAGGGCATGGTATTGACTTGATTCTGGAATATTTCTTCAACAATCCCTGTACAGTGAGTAGCAGCTTGGATAAGTGAATTCACTGGAGGGAAATGGTGGTAGGTATGAATACAACAAGGTCAATTTAAGGGTTCTGATGACAGTTCACTTGTAAACATCAGAAGTTTTAAAAATGTGAACTTCAAGTGCTGGTTCTGTGCTTTTCGTGTTGCAGTTTAGAAAATATGTGTGTGTTGTTTCCTGAATTGCTTAAAGCTTGGGGTGTTTAAAAAGGGGGGCTTCCCTTTCTTTTCAGGGGTTGCTTTTCCAGCTCTCAACTGCCTGGTTTCCTGAATGGCTCATGAGAGGACCCTACAAGCTTCCAGGACTGAAGGATCAGGCAAACACTCTCTCTCTCTCTCTCTCTCTCTCTCTCTCTCTCTCTCTCTCTCTCTCTCTCTCATGCATGTGTGTATGCTATGCTTGGCAGTGGTTTCCACCATGCTTAATAGCATTCTGTTTTCTTAATCCTAAGATCCAGTGTGGCTCCTGTGATGCTTTGTTTCATTACCTAGTCATTATGGGTCTTGGGGGCTCTCCTCCTTGTATTCCTGAATGCTCCTGTTGGAAGACAATCTCCCTCATTCCTGAGTTAAAAGATCAAAATTCTTCCTTTCACAATATTTTCCTTGAAAGAATTAGAAGTTCCTCCCTCTCCTGATACTTGTCTGTGACATTCCAAACCATCTTCTCAGGAGAAGATTTTGAAGCAATTCCCGAGTTTTTAGTGTATGTGTGTGTGTGCGTGCATGGATGAAAGTCCTAGTGGGATTCTTTTCCTCTTGCCCCGTGTCTTGTTTCCAATTATTTTCTTTATCTTTCTCTCTTGAGGAAAGGCTGAAAAGAAACTAAGAAAAATCCAGGCATTATGAAATATTTGAAACTTCACATTGTCTTAGTTCAGATTCTTGACCTCATTCCAGCATTCATAAATATTATTACATGGACTGTAGGGCTGGGGAAAGAATGAGACATGTAGACATAGTTAGGTTATTTGTCTGCTATATCATGAAAGACATCATATTTAAATGCTAGCTAAGGATGATAGGCATTGTTAAGTACACAACCATATGTATGCTTAGAGAGGAAAAAAAAAGTATTGTAACTCCCCGTATTCCCTAGCCACCATTTTTCTCTGCAGTAGCTGAGAAGTTGTAGGCAATGTTCACAGTAATATGATACAAACAGCAAGATCTTGTGAGGCATTCTCCTCCCTTTGTGGAGGAGATACCAGAAATTATGGCTTCAAGGACATAACAGCAGCAGCTGGCTAAGGACCAGCACCTGGAGTAAATGGTTGGCCCCAAGGACTGGAAGAAGAAAGCTGACCAAGTGGTGGGGGAGATAAAGGCTGGTAGGGAAAGAGAGCTCCTCCTTTGGGAGGTTCCATCTGCTGCCTGCTCGCTGTGATGCCCTGTGCATCTTGATCCTCCAAAAGGTAGCACTTTGCTGTACAGCTAGGATAGGGTTAGCTTTGTTATTTTCTAGTTCAGGTGGGCCAACAAGGCCCTGGGAATTAGGGTATTTTGGTTGTCTGTAACTATACTGTTGCAGCTGTCCAACTTCCCCCTCCCCCCCCCATTTTTATCACTTTTAGATGGTATGTTTTAGCATCTTACATCCCTGTATTTGATGCTTTTGCATAAACTTGTTTGTTCCCCAAGCTTGGGCTTATGTGTGCTGCATCCAGTGTCTGGTCCTGGGTTGACAGACCAGGGAAAAACTGGGCGAGATTTTGCCCAGTTGGCCAGGGAAACAGGGAATCCCTGACAGCTTTCTGTTGAATGTTTCCTCTTATTTCTCATATTATGTTTAGAACCACTAAATACCCATTTCATAAGAGATTGCTCCTGCCGGTGCAATACAGCACTCCGGTTGGATACTATGTTCTTTTATGAAACGGTACCAGACCATAAATTTGAGTGCAGAGTTCTCTGAACAAGAGCACACTATTTGGTATTGTAGCTGGCTCATGTTTTGCTCTTCCCAGTCAATACAGAATTTATATTCATACTTCTGTCATTTTTTTTCAAAGAAGGCAAAGGTTTATACCATACTAGTGAATGTTTTTGTTAAGTGTGGATTAAATTGGCCAAGCATCTTATGCCAGCATAGAGCAGTCTTTCTACATAATCATGCCATTAGTGTTAACTAAAATTCCATTTGGCTTATATTTAAAACAACACCCTGAGAGAGTACAATCTGTTAAGCAACACTGCTGTGCAACACCCATTCATTTTAGTCTGGA